CCCACTCATGTCCTCATTTCCATCAGACTTGGGGCAGTCAAGATCGGTCGGAGTCTAGGTGATCTAAAGTTTTACCAACCAATCTGATTCCCCCGGGGTCCCTTGATGAAGTTCTTCTGCAGCCTATTTTTTAAAATCCCTATCTTCGAGATCCGGAATGACACTCCTTTTCGGCTCAGGACTTGCTGGGCAACTACGGTAAGGCTTGGATCGAAAGAGGGATAGTCTGGTTGGGGGACTTGTGGGATAGAGGAGTAAATGACAGGAGAAGAGAAGCTTCAGTGAGAAGTCAGTTAAGATGTCTGAGGAAAGTGGAGGAACGACTTGCTGATATCCAGAATTTGCTACCGCAGAGCTGGATTCAAGTAATGTCTTCTCAGCCAGTCTTTGATAGCTGGCTGAAAGCTCCAGGGGAAGACCAACAGACCTATTGGCATCTACTGGGCCCGGCAACTGCAAGTGGGTTTACAGTCGAAGTCTGGCGGGCTACTGAGCTAACGCCCTACTCCAGATTGTTGACCTTTCAAGACACAATTACGGTAAGTTCTCTAAAAGGCTTGAGCCAGATAATTACGGAGGTCCAATACTGCAAACGTAAGGATGGGACGACGCGGACAGAGCCAACAACAGGGGAGTGTCACCGGCAAGTGAAATTACAGGCAGGGGGAAGGACTTTGAATAACCTGCCCATACATCCTGGTTGTTTTGGATGGGTGGATCAGAAGAGCCTTAAGCTGGTTGGACTGATGCAGTACTGGATAGGAGTAAAACTACTACAGCAAAAAAGTGAAAAAAAAGATGGTGGATGTAGTACTCAGAAGACGAGAAGAGCAATCGTTACAGTCTGTAACTCGAAAGGAAAGGATCTCCTGGAGCATTGGAAACAGCTGAAGGCACCGCCCTCTCAAAAGCAGGCTAGTATACTGCTACTGCAATCACTGTTGGTTACTGCTTCGGCAGTATGGCTACACTGTAAAGGAATGAATATCTCCACAACTTGTAGCAGGTGCAAATGGGCATGGGAGGCTACTAACCACCTGTGGTACACTTTCCCGTTCTCACTCAGAGTATGAAAGTGGTGGGAAAAACACTAGAAGCCGATTTCGAAGGACATCTTCCCATTGGATGAAAATTGGGTTCTGGTAGGTACCTTACCAACAGGTCTGTCGGCAGCTGCAGGCTAGGTTATATCGCACAAGTGGTTAGAGGGAATATCTTTGGTGTCCTGTAGACAGATCGTAACGATCAAGTCTTTCGGGACTCTCACCTGTCCTTCCAAGACATCATTAATAAGGTGAAGGCCAAAATCAGACATACAGTTATTGCAGACTGGAGAAGGTGATATAGGGGCAAGCACAGCCCCAAAACAGCCAGTTGGTTCTTCCGAACTCGGGGGCTAAATGCTCAGTTGGTATTATCCAAGCCCAATGGCGTGTTTCAGTTTCCTTCTTGGCTGCTGAAAGATTAGAATCGAGGGGTTTTCTTACCTCCTCCATACTGATTGATGTTGGTTTTAGCTTTGGCATTGGCCAGTAGTGCCTGATTCTTCTTTTCAGCCTTCTTTTGGGACTGTTGATAGGCTTGATTTTCATTTCCCGACGTTAGGGTACAGGTGTCAATCTTCAACAGGGAACTCTATTTGGCTACTACATCAATGTTGGTGGTAGGTGGTGTCAATCTTCAACAGGGAACTCTATTTGGCTACTACATCAATGTTGGCGGTAGGACGGAGGGCATTGTATTTTGTTTGGTCCTTGCCACACTTTTACTGAGCTTCAAGTTTATTCTTTTTTTTTTTCCTTTTTGAGGAGTTTACTCCCTGATTGAGGGTAAAGTGGTCATGGGATGCTGGACCCGGTTTCTAGCAGTTGATACATCCGGGTTGAATTGTGAGGTCCCCAGCCTCGACCATCTTTTGAATATAAAGTGACAACTTCTCAAAAAAATAAAATAAATAAATAAATAAAAATCAGTTGGAGTGGCTCTTGAAACCCTTTCAAGAGCAGCTCTTGAAAGATTGAAAACCCTCTGGTGCATTTTCATTGGCCTAAGGGCCCCGTTTGACACCAGTTGGAAATTGCTATTTTTCAAGGAAGCGCCGTTCCACCCCGCACCCTTGAAGTCGCTAATTGTTTCCACATCCCCACGGCCAAGTGTCCGCCCTTGAAACGGAAGTGCGGCCAGGCAAATCGACGAAAACCCCAAGGGTGCCTCGGGAGGTCACTTGGGGTGCAAGGGTTTCACCCTTCAAAACGGGTAATATACGGACCTTTTTTTTTTTTCTTTTTTTTTCCACCAATCACCACTGTTCGTGGTGCAATGACGTGAGCACTTCAGTTTCAAGGACGGCCGTCTCAAGGGTTTCTTCAAGGGGTTGTGGAACAAAAAAACAAGTTAGGGGAAATTAATCACCTTCGGTGAGTTAGGGAGCCCTTGAAACTCAAGTATTTTCAAGTGGTGTAGAACGAGGCCCTAACCCTTGAGGGACTATCTATTTCCCTCAAGGGTTAGGGCCTCGTTCGACACCACTCGAAGATACTTTCTAACTCACCGAAGGTGATTAATTTCCACTAACTTGTTTTTTTGTTCCACAACCCCTTGAAGAAACCCTTGAGACGGCCGTCCTTGAAATTGAAGTGCTCACGTCATTGCACCACGAACGGTGGTGATTGGTGGAAAAAAAAAGAAAAAAAGAAAAAGGTCAGCTACGTGCCCAGCTCACTTGGCGTACTATTCTTTCGCCTTTTACTAAAGAATACCGTGGGCTGAGCACACTGAGCAGCTTACAGCAATTTTTAACGACCCTTCAAAAAAAGAAAAAAAAAAAGAAAAAAATCAAGTTATATCAGGCCATTATCCTGACGCCATTCTAAAAAAACATCCTCTGTCCAACACCATCGCCCTTTCAAGAGTGCTGTGTGGCGAGGGGCCGAAACTCATGAAAACCCGACTCTTGAGAACGTCTGACAGCTCTTGAAAATTTCCCCGTTTCAAAAGTGGCCTGGCCAGGCCCAATATCTCTTTTTTTTTTTTTTTTTTTTTTTTTCAATATCTCATTTGTGGGCCATTATATATATATATATATMTTATATATATATATATATAGATATATATATATAAATCCAGCCGTCTAGCTCAGTTGGTAAGGCATGCAAGTGGCATTCAGGAGCTCTTGGGTTCAATCCTCGTTGGCCTCATGTGCCTTTCTGGGCTTGCTTGGCGCCCGCCACCTAGAGATAGCCCGTTGGTCCCCCCAATTGGCATTAAAAAGCATTCTCTGCTGATGTTCATAAGGAGAGGGGTAATAGGGGAGGCACAGCGACTGGCCACTCAGATGATGCTCGGTCCCTCTGCTACCGGCTGTCCCCTGGCCGGTGTTCCCAATTGGGGGTTCCCTGAAGGCAATCAAGGCCGCCCTATGTCAGATTAGACACAACACTGAGTTTACTCGGGCTGGTTAATACCTCAAGGCCAAAAAAAAAAAAAAGAACAAAAAAAGGGGCTCGTTCGACACCACTAGAAAACCCTTACATGTAAGGGTTTCATCGTTCCACCTCTCCCTAATGACGATAAAAAAGATGCGAAATTTGTTTTCACATTCGCCGGCGTAAGGGCGAGCCCTACAAAAATAAGGACACCCCAGCCAAAACGGACGCAAACGCAAGGACAGCGGTGGAGGTGACTTGAAAGTAGGGGTGGCGCCCTTACTTTCCACGGGAAAACCACTGACATTTTTTTTTTTTTTTTTCGTCAGGTGTTTCCTTCGCGTTCCTGGTCCAAACGCTGGGTTGTCCAGTACACCATGGGACGGCGGTTCCACGGTAGTCTCCAACGGGTAGCGCCGTGGCCCGGCTGTGGCCATGCGGTTCCTCCGGTTAGCCGTTTCGGCTTGCGTGTGGAGGCGACTGTTGCAGGGGTCCCCGTGGAGGCGGGCGCGCGAGTGCCGTTGCTGGCTCATCTTTCGAATGTGAAGAGGGTGGTATGCGCAGCCCGTCGATTTCGATGAAGCAAGAATGCCCACCTCCCACCACCCCGTGCTGGTCGTCTTCCACGAGCCGCTATATTGGACTCCTCTGCTTCCGCGCTTTGTCGTCATCGAAAGGTGGCAGATCTGTGTGTCGTGTTTTGCTGCAGGAGCGCATGGCTGACATGGTGAGGACGTTAGCTCTGCTAATTATCCCGCTTGGGGCGGTGGTGCTGTTCATAGCTCTGCACGCGTGCCACCTGGCCGGTGCTCGCATCCGGCGTGGAAGGAGGAAGGGGTTGAGGAGGCTTCGACAGGGCGCTTCGGCAAGCAAAGGGATGGGGGATGAATACAGTCGGGGTTGTGAGGGTTTTGGGATGGGGAGGGGGGCGTACGGAGGAGGGAGTGGAATGCAACACAATGTCCACCACAGGTTTGATCCAAATTCGTATTCGCATCTCCCTCCTCACCAGCAGCCTTTGCCTGATGACACGACCTGGACGCCCCCTCCGTCGACATTGGGTCTGGCATGGGGGTCGACACAGACGTCTTACGACACACCACCACGAGTAGAAAGCACCGGAGGGGGTGTGGGTCCCATGTCCGGTTTGCTGGGCGAAACGCGGGGCAGAGGCCGTCATCCATTCGATTTGCAACTCTCACCGACGACCACCATGGGCATGTCTAGAATGGTCCTCGTCCAGCGGAGTGGACAGGGTGGCGGTGCGAGAACGCAGACAATGCATGCCAGTGACCTTGATGACGGGATGCCAATGCATCGACCGAACCACATGTCAAGGCCTGCGCCGAGCCAGGCCGCACCAGCGGGCAGCGTGTCGTATCACCAACCTCCAGCAGGCGCAACCATGCAGGATCATAGGCCTGATGTGGGCGGTGTTGCGGAATCCCCTCGATGCGTGGAGTGTATTGTCTACCGGTTCAATAGCTTGCGGGCGACCAGCGACGGTGATGGAGCAGGCGCGACCATGCAGGAACGGAGGCCTGATCTGGGCGAGGTTGCGGAATCCCCTCGATGTGTGGAGCGTATTGTCTGCCGCTTCAATAGCTCGCGGCCGACCAGCGACGGTGATGGAGGCGGACGTGACGGTGGTGCCAGCGAGGCGGACCACGTCGACGTTAAAGACGATGACGGTGACGACGATGACGAAGACGAAGCTCCGGTCAAGGAAGCAGCCTCCAGCGGGACGAAAAAGCAAGTTTCCAAAGGTCGTGGGAAAGCAAAGGGGAAGGATAAGGAAGGTGATACGAACGGCGAGGGTGGCGGGAGCGGAGCACGGGGGAACTGGAGTTTGAACGAGTCTCTCGTTCTTGTCCGGTGCAAAAGAGACCAAGATGACTACTTTGCTAATGCGGGAACCAACTTCGCCAGAATGAAAATGAAGGACCAGAAGTGGATGGACATCGCTAAGCGGATGGAGAAGGAAGGAGTTCGGCGGAACAGGGAGCAATGCATGAAGAGGTGGGAGAACATATTCGGGTGGTACAGGAAAGTGTGGGACAGGGAGAAGGACTAGGGACTGCAATCGTACTTCCTCATGACCACGAAAGAACGGAAGGAGAAAGGGTACAGGTTCAATCTAGACCGCACTCTATATGATGCGATCCACATCATGCAAGGAACAACCAGGCCGTTCACCCGCCGAATCTCGTGGACACAGGCAACAGACAAGGACAACAATCACAACAAGGTGAGCAAGGCCAAGCGGCTGCGGGTGGTGGGGAAGCAGACACTTCGGCGAGCGAGAACAGGGGAGAGGATGCGGGGGACGGGTGTGGCAGCAGATCGTCTTCTAACGGCATTCATGGCAAGCGGAAGAACGCCAGGCAGCTGGCTTTCAAGGCGGTGACAGATGTGATGAAAACGCACTCGGCCGTTGTCGCGGAGTCCGTGGACCGCGCGAGCAAGCGGCAGTGCGACGTGCTCCAAAGGCAGTGCGACATAATGGAGAAGAAGGCGAGAACGCAGAAGAGGCAATGCGAAGTTCTCGATGTCGGCCAACGGATGTTGTGCGATGCTCTCCGTAAGATCGCGTCGGCATTGGCCAGGGATTGATTGCGAGGTTGTGACAGGAGAGCAAACCCCGAAACCCACGCGGGTGTGCTTGCAAGGGCGGTCCGCGGGGTGTCATTTCAAGGGTAGATTTCGCCCCTCCAATCTTTTTAAATTTTTCCTTTTTTACTGCCTTTTTCCTGTCGTTGTCGTTCACGATGCGCAACGATGCCGACCACTGGCTTTTAAACCCGTCCGTCACCTTGTGTAGGGACATTTCACAGGATTGTTTGTTGAACATTTTCTGTCGGCATATTTTATATAGTTTTTTTTTTGTTTTTTTTTTCCTCTGGTCGACCGTTCGTTTGCAATCACCGCGGGTGGTCGCAACCCGAGGTCTTCAAGTTAGATGACGTCCAAGAGGAGTAGGGATAAGCATGCCATCCATGGTAGTCGCTTCGTATGTCGCATCACCGAGGTGGTGGGTCGTTTGGAAGGGGGGGTGGAGGGGGGCGAGGGGGGGGTATGGGGGAGGGAGGGGATTGATAGGATCTGGCTCCTACGCCGATAGGAGGCGGTTCATCTCGGCGATCAACGGAGGGTGCACGACAGTGCCAGCGAAACTTATTTCAGCTCATGGCAGTGTGTTTCCAAGGCCAACGTGAGAGATCGGTCGTGGGAGCTCACGTGGCGAAAGTGCGTGGAAGGCGGGCGTTGGGAGTGTACAAAAACTTGTAGTTTGGCTCCCTGTGAGGGTCATATGTGCGCCGACGCTGGTGGTGGCGAAGGCGGTCCTCCGACGCGAGGATGGTGACTTGCGCACTCGTGTTAAAACCAGAACACAATGCGAATAGTGATATCGTACATGGCGGTCATCGAGGGGTTGTCGTTACGGAATTCGAGATCGGACATCGCAGCCTCGTCGGGGTGCGGCGCTGCGCATCAATGGACATCCAGGTGGCGCTTAGAGGTCGTGTCCTCGATCGTACGATAACTTTTTACGAGATGAGGCATCGTCGAGGAGAGAAGGACGGCAGGGTTGTTTGATTTTGTGGGCGAGATCAGTGGACACGAAGTGCGGCATTACGAGGTGGACGCAATTCTCCACGTCATCGCCGCGTTGGGATATGCGGATAACATGCTGTGTGAGGTAGTCAGCTACGCAACGAAAGTCGGCCGCGCGATCCCCAACCGCTGGGAAGGAGGAGTGGACGTTCTCGCTGACATCGTCGACCTCCTAATGTCGAACATCACGAACGAGCACGAGGAACGCATGACTGTTCCTGCGGAATTTCGGGTGCACCCCGACCCTCCCATGCATGACCGCCCGGGTCTCCGTGGCGAGATCCGCAGCATCGACGAGTAGGTCTGGATGGAAGCGATGGCGGCAAACCGTTCGCCGCTCGCACCGGAGAGAGAGAGAGGGAGAGAGAGAGACACGGAGATAGATAGATAGATAGACACAAAGAGAGAGAGAGAGAGAGAGAGAGAGAGAGAGAGAGAGAGAGAGAGAGAGAGAGAGAGA